AAAAAAAAAAACGAATTAGAAAAAAAGCAGTAAGGGTTTAGCAGGAAATAACAGAGGAACATTCATGTTAATCAACAAAAGTGGACATCGACTCTACAATCAGTTTAACTTACTGGCTTCATGGGGGATGGAAATGCATCAACCACTTCTACAGTGGTCGGATACTCGAATATTTCCTCAAAATCATTATCTTCCTCTCCCTCATCGACTTCTTCACCCTCCTCAGTACAATCATCTTTTGATCCCTTCTGAGATGGGTTATCTGCCTGTGAAGAAGACGGCGTCACAGCTTTAGCTAGGGCTAAAATCAAAACATCCTAAACCGTTACGAAATGAAAGGAGTCCGCGAACCCTAGATGAGAAGTACACCACTATTACTAAAGAATAAGTTGTTTGAAAATAGCCGACTTTTGCATAATCGCTTGAATGTAAAAAACATTTTGAGCATAGACACCACAAAAACTATCTCGAGTTAGAAAACGTGAAATATAAAACGGGACGGCTCCTCATAAAACGAAAAAATTGTGTCGCTTGAGTTCAGTTCAGAACGAAATTACAACCTATATCTACAAAAATACCTCTGAGATAAAAGACTGAATCCAACTTACTAGCATTTGTGCCTTCCGGAACGCTCTTCAGTGTTGCTTGCGTGAATTCACCCACTGCCATTTGAAATACATTCATAAATTCCTCAACAAGCTGGGAAGTCTTGAACCGAACTACGAAGCACTCCTTCACTCCTTCAGTTTCTTCTGTATAGTCCTGTTTCAAATAATCAGCGTCTTAACACATAAAAAAGTAACTTATACACTCTTTGACCTTTAGGGTCTGGAACAGAACGGTTCAGAGAAAGTAGACAAACCAAAGTTAACTAAAAAACTGTGAAGTTACATACAAAGTAACTGAAACTGTAATTTACAGTTACTCGAGCATAACACCTAAGAGAACTTACTTGACAGACAAAAATACAAGCATTATCCGTATTTTGCTTCTTAGAAATTTTCATACCCTGTCTTATAGGTGCGTTTGCACAAACTTTAAGCACCTGATCTCGCCTCATTACAACACGACATTTTCCATCTTTGTTTTGCAAAATCTAAAAAATTTTCAAGCTTTACTGAGACGTGTAATAGTAAAATGGCAATGCAATTCGAAAATTACCTTTATATCCCCAACGCCGCGCTCTTTGTATTCTTTCGAATCCTTAACATATCGATAAAGTTTTGCTCTCGCTTTGAAAAGAACCTTAAAAAACAATTCTGAAACACGAATGCTGTAACTTTTCATACCATTAACAAACAATCTCCAATTGCTTTTGGCATAACTCTCATACACGACGGGTTTTGGGGCAGCACAAAACAATAAACCTTCTCGTCCTCTTCGCCAGTTTTTGTTTCCACAAGTGCTGGAAGAGGCACTAGAGGCTCGAAGTGAGCGGTGGGAACAAACTCCTCGGCATCTTCCTCAGCTTTTCCAGATTTGTTATCTTTATATGATGTTTCTTGTTTCGAAGGAAGTGAAAATACCTGAACATATTGGTACTAAAAGAGAAAAGTACGGAATAAATACTATAAGCTACTTGACTGTTTAAAATCGACCTACCGATTTTTCTGCATCTGAGATGCTCCCACCTTGGAAAGGAGTTATTTTATGGTCACCTGAGTCAGAACTAACGGCCTTTTTCTCACTCTGTGCCTTGGCTGCCAGAGCAGCAAATCCTCCTGAAGACGCTCCACCAAAAACAGTGCCTGAAAAAAGCTGTGCATTCCTTACGTCATACAACAAATGGAGAACCAATGAAGTCAGCTACTAGTAACTCTGAAGAAAGAGCAGCAGAAATTAAATCTGTTACGCAACATCTCAGAGCTACAGCAACCTTCTCATAATCTACCATCCACCAACGTAGAAAAAAGAACGCTCACAAAGCTGTTTTTGCTATCTGATTTCGCAAAAAATCAAGAGGTTTCAAAAATTACCAGAAAATGGAGACGTTACCGCTGACGCACCAAACAGAGAATTGCCCGATGGTTTATTTGTAGAAGTTGAACCTAACGTTTAAAAATTGTTAAAATAAACAAATTCAATTCAGTACTTATATGAACTGACCACTTATTATTTATAATAAAAAAAACTACTTCGATACATTAAGCACTCTCGGAATTCAACACTCAACCACAACAATTCATTTTTCTTTTTTAAATCAACCGTTATCTTTTTATGACCTGCCACCTGATATCACTGTTAGCAAAAACTCAACCTTCCCTACCATAACCTTCCAAATGTTTAATCATTAACTTTCTGCAATCCGACCAATCAAACAACGCAATCACTGTAAACTTTCTTTAAATTCTTTCATTTTCGTCACCTTGTGAAAAATTAATTTTGTTACTTCTTCACCTTGCTACTAAGTCATTTTCTTCGTATATGATATCTCACCTCTTTTAACAAAACCCTCAACCATACGATATCCATGACTGATGGCAAAGTGGATACTTTAATACATTAACAACTACCTTCTCTTCGCCTCCCCAGTGTCCATCTCAAAAAAGCTCCACCATAAAATTTAAACAAAGCCTTAATAACGGAAGACTTACCTACTAACTTTTAAGAAACAAAACCTTCCAGAGTGATCCCGACGTCCACGAATCTTTCAGTTGCTATGCTTCAAGACTCTCTTGCAAAAACTCGGATAAACGGAAACTTAAGAAAGTATCTAACTTTTTAGGTCAATTTAGAACTATGTTTATAGTACAATAACGCGACTACCTTTGTGCAAATTTATTGAAAAAGTTTCCTTTTGTGCCCTACAGAGTCCTGCTTCCACAGTTAATACCTTCAACAACCCACAGTATCAAACCAAATCAATTGCTCGACTTATACCTTTACATAAAGTGGATTTGACACTAGCCTAGTTTAAGCACTTGGCTATGCTCTGTATAAAAGCCACTCCCAAGCAACTATTAATTCTATCTCTTCCGTTACCTCCTAGCAAGCCATGCAACACAAAACAAGCGCGGTCTTTCACACGCTTCCCGCTGTTCAGCCAAGATGTTCACCCCTACCTACTCACAATGCTACAAATACCTGCAGTCTTCCTAACCTGTTATCATCTTGGATTCATGGCTCCTATTCACTTAAGTAAAAAGGTAGAGATCTAATTATGGTTCCTGATGAAAATCTTAGATATGAACCCAGCCCTTCAACATTACCTTATCAAGCCCGAATTTCTACGATGAAACTCTTATATAATGAATATTCGATAATGAACTTCAGGAATTAGATTTCAAAATTAAATTTGTTTAAAAGATGCGTGAAACTGAGAAAAAGCAATATATTTCGAAATTGCAACTTGACGAAGATTACTTAATTTCCAGAAGTTCTGACGAATTTTTAGAATAAATTACAGCCTAATGAACAAAATGATTTTGAGAAAAAACTAGCATCAATTAATTCAATACAAGCACTGTCTTTTCCAACAGGAATTCAAAAGCAGTAATACAACAACGAACCTGAATCCGTGCATTTTGCAAAAAAACTTCATTCTCCTTTTATGAAAAATCGATGAAAACAAATAAAGATAGAAAACTAATGAAAGTTACCTGTTTCCTTCGAAGAAGTAGCAGAAGACATAACAGTTTTGCCACCAAAGACAGGAGAGCCACCAAATGTAGGGACATACGATTGAGTTGACGGAGTTTTTGTTTCACCTTAATACAGCCACATAAATGAGATAAATACTACGTCAAAGCACTGTTGTGAGTGGAAATATAACGAAGTTTAACGTCTGCTTTTTTTCTGTTTCGGATTTAACAAATAAATCAATCATTACTGGGTTTGAAAGCAAAAACAGATGATCCTTTTAAATCCTGCGTAAGCGTCTTGAGTCCACTAGGGGCAAATGAGAAAGTGGGTTTTACATCTGACGAAGACGATACGGTTACAGACAACATAGGCTTTGCAAACGAAAACGTTGGTTTCGTCGATGAACTTGTAGATACTACTGGTTCTGGCTTGTTGGCAGATGGAACATTAGCCGGTGAAAAACTAAACACTGCTGCCGAACTAAAACAGTAAATTACTTAAGTGATGGATATTTGATACAGCAACAACACCAGGAAAAAAGAGCGCAAATACGCCGCACTCAGCGAAAATAAATAAATACGTAGAAAAAGAAATACATTTCCCATAAACCTGCTAGTAGCTGATGTCGTTTTTAATGGTAGAGATGAGAAACTAAAGGTTGGTAATCCCGCACCGGAACTAGAAACTGTAGTTTTTGGAGCTGATTTTAATGTTCCCGCATTTGCTGGAGAGAGACCAAAACTAATCGGCGCATTGGCTGGTGTATTACTTAAAAGAAAGGCACGAAGAGTTTTGCAGGGGATACTGTAAACGGTGTACAGTAAACATAAACTGCAACGGCTGCAGGAAATAACTAATAAATTACCTAGAAGTAGTGACAGTTGCTTTAGGAAAAGGAACGCCAGTGGTGATACCAAAACTAAAGGAACCTTCCTTTGTTAACGACGGTGCTGTTGTACTAAAAAAGCATTACTATACTATACTACAAAGAAGTCATCAGTCCAATAATATTAGTTGTTTCGTACTAGATAAGACCTAAGAGGAATTTACTAGCACCTAGTACTTGCTGACGTTGCAACTGATCCATCTTTCTTTGTGCCACAACAAGGACATACATTTGCTTCTGCTGCATTACGCGTGTAGCAAGACTTGCACTCCCAACTTCAATAAAAAAGATAATATGATACGAAAATGACCAGTAGAAACTTAGATTTAAGAAAAAACTTAAGACTGACCTTCCAGGAAGCGGTTTAAAAGCGTCTCCAAATCCCTGTTCAGCTTTTTTCCCGCTCGCCTGGTTAGACTTGTTAGAAGCTACAGTACTGCTATTAGCTGAGCTGTAATTATTACTAGTTCTCTTGAAGTAAGTAAAACAATACCCTGCGCAAAATGCTTCTCTTTGTTTCTATGTTGAAGGAATTTTTTAAAAATACTATTTTTCAAACTCACCTAAACATAGTAGGCGATACTTTTTCAGTTGCTACGTGACCAGTAACACTCTTGACTTCATTGGAAGTATCCGAATTCGGCACGTTTCCCTCAGTTGTCGAATTACTAGGCTTTAAACCATCTAGAAACAAAAGCACTTGCTAACAATACGTGTTACAAAATCTTTTCAGAAAATTAGGACAAAAATATTTGGATACCTGAGGGTTCAACAGCTTCGCGAAATATTTTCATGAAGTCCTCAACCAACTGGCTTGTTTTAAAACGAGCCACAAAGCACTCATCGGTACCGTCAGAGCTCTCAGAATAATCCTGATATGTTGTCATTACAAATCTTTTCTACTTTATACGGTGAAGGAACAAAACTTCAGGATGTAGGATGAAAACCTAAAGCATTTTACAAGAAACCACAGCCAAAACAAGCTTCAACTTCCTTACCTTACAAGCCCAAATACAAGCCGTTTCCGTTCCAGGTTTTTTATCTACTTTCATCCCTATCCGAAGCGGGACGTTAAGACAAACTTTAAGCACTTGGTCTCTCCTCATTACAATGCGACGCTTTCCATCATTACCTTGTAAGATCTAAATAAGCTAATGCACAGTGAGGGGCAATACGAGCCAAAAAAAATCCAAATAAGACAAAAATAAACATTTAAAGCAACGTCACTCACTTTGATGTCACCAATACCGCGCTCCTTGTATTCATTAGTTTTTTTCACATATCGAAAAATCTTCGTCCGGGCTATAAAAAGCACCTGAATAAGAAGAATTAAATTACTGCTCGGAACCAGTATTATAAGGCGGCTTAAGTTGGAAAGGTTGCGGAAGGTAGCGCCTGACACAGGACCCCATCACCAAACTATATGACAACTCCACTACACCAAACCGTAAAATGAAAAGTCGCAAATCCGTACAGAAAAAACAGACCAAATGCGACTCAGTTTTAATTTGATAAAGTCGCTTCCACATGAGGAATACCGGCAACTGATTGATTGCCGATTGGGAACTTTGAAGGAGCCGAATTATTCAAAAGCATGCACAAGAAGAGAACTAAATCACCAGCACCTTCTTAACAGAATCACTGAGTTGTCACGACGAAATGCAGTCACAGACAGTTCAAGAAGCCATTCAAAAACCAGAACATTTCCAAATTCCGCAACCTTTCGTGAGAGACTTCAATGAGAGGAACGAAAAAAAAACCCAAAAATTCAGCGGTCTGACGAGCGACGTTTTTTACAAAACAAGCAAGTCCGTTGTTCATGAACATCAGTGCCTCAAAATCAACTTTCTTCTCAAACTGAACCCATCACACATATAGATCTCGTCACCTGCCACAATGACGTTACAGACAAATGTAAATTCCTGACTAAACAGCGTGCAACGAATGAAGCGCTAAACACTAGCAACGACGGAATATTTGTAATAAACATTCGAAAGATGGTGCAAAGAAGACTGTCACAAGCACAAAGTATAACAATACGAAACGAAACCAATATATAAAGACGTCTCTGAAGAC